TTTAAAAATGAAAACAGGACTTTCCAGTTCAATGCGTCAGATTGAACATCAACATTTTGCCTCTGTTCCCTCCTGAAACCCAATAAAATGAAAGAAAAGGAGTAAAGGTATAAGGCATAAACCCACAAGTAGAAAACAGGAGACAGAAGCAGGCCAGACCGGCTAACAGTTTTTTGGTAGAAGCAGACAGAAATGAACAGAACTGAGAGCTGAATCAGAGTGCCTGCAAAGGGGGGGCGGGGGTGTTGAAAAGAAGCGGACTAATTTGTACTGCTGGCTCAGAAATTGGAGGAACCAGTTACCTCAGAAGGGAAGGGTGAAGTATGGAGCTGAAAACGGTACTGGTTGAAAGTCTGGGTAAGTATCCAACTCCCAGGTTCTCTCCTTCAACCAAGAGACAGTTGTTCTTTTATTTGGATAAAACTGCAGATTAGAGCTTGGAAAAATTTAATAGGGCCAGTCGTAGCTGAAGTTGGGATGTCTTTTGGAAACAGAACATCTTTTCACACAACAGGGGCTAAGTGAAAGTCTGAATATGGAGGTAAAGACCCCTCCGTTTCCCTTCCCCTCCTCTCAGAACAGTGACGGGTCAGTGGCAGGGCTCTCACCCCCCATGTGAGAGACGCGGACATTCCTGGCCGGCGCACCTCAAACATAGCCACCAGCCATCTGTTAACGGAGACCTGCACGCTGCTATGATGCTAAACGAGTTCTGCCGTTCTAGTAAAGCCAAAAGGAGCTCTGGTGGCTCCATGGTTAATGTGCTCAGCTGCTAACTGAAGGGTCAGCAGTTGTAACCCATCAGCCTCTCTGCAGGACAAAAGCCTTGGCGATCTGCTCCTGTGAAGATTTCAGCCTAGGAAACCCTGTGGGGCAGTTCTGTCACATGGGGTCGCTATGAGTCAGAATCGACTCGTCAGCACACAATAGCAGCAACGACAGTGAAGCCAGTTAACAAGCCTCACCCCTGCAGACAGGACTTCTAATCAGCATTTTTAGTGCTGATGGACAGCCAGGGATCATTGGACAAAAATATTTATATTAGCAGGTTAAAAAAACTTTAAAAGAAAACATTTTAACGATTTGTATCCTTGAAGGAATGAGATATCACAGCCAGGAAACTGGAATAAGATGCTATTAAAGGGAACATATAGAGAACAAGAAAACACTCTTGGAAATTAAAATCAAGCCGGGAAAAATTATAACTGCAGTAGCGAAGTAGAAAGTGAAGCTGAAGAAAACTACCAGAAAGTCGAAAAGGAGAAGAAATGCAAAATAGGAAAGAAAATAATAAGATAATCAAAAGCTCAATCGAAGAGGTGTAGCGTCTAATGAAAAGGGCTGTCCGAAGGGAAGGAGGGGGCAGTGGGGAGGACAGTGCAAGGGCCCAGCATAGCGATTGACAAAAGGCCCACACTGAGGATAAAGAGAAGCTGCTGCAGTTTTTCACAAGATAAAGCAGGTCGCGCAGAGAAAACTTAGGCTTGGGATGGTATGGCCGCCTCAACAGCCACACTGGAAAGTAGCAGACAGTGAAGTAATGACCTCAGAATTCTGAGGGTAAATTATTTTCAGCCTAGAACTTTGTTTTCAAAGAATCAAAAACTTGAGGATAAAAATAAAACATTTTCAGAAGAGGTGAAGAGAATTGCCAGAATAATGGTAAAGGGAAGTCATGGGACAGCACTTGCACAGGCAGTGTTTGACCTTACCCAGAGTTGTTTTACAATTATGTTAAAGAATTTGAGAATGCGATGGGTACAGAGAAAACCAAGCAAACAAAAAGAGGCGATTATTAATTTCCAGAAAAACAAATTGGTTGTCGGTCTGACACTGAGGAACCCCCAAGACTGTGGTCCCAGACACCCCTTCTAACTCAGACCTGAAGCCACTCCTGAAGTCCACCTTTCAGCCAAAGATTAGACAGGCCTATAAAACAGCAACACACTTGAGGAACGTGAAGTTCAATCAAGTGTATACGAGACTGTCATGGATTGAATTACGTCCCCCAAAAAACGTGTGTGTCAATTTGGCTGGGCCATGATTCCTGGTATTGTGTGATTTTCTTAATATGTTGTAAGTCCTGCCTCTGTGATGTTAATGAGGGAGGATGGGTGGCAGCTGTGTTAGTAAGGCGGGTCTCAGTCTACAAGATTGGATTGTGTCCTGAGGCAATCCCTTGAGATAGAAAAGAAGGAAGTGAGCAGAGAGACAAGGGGACCTCATACCACCAAGAAAGCAGCGCCAGGAGCAGAGCGCGTCCTTTGGACCAGGGTCCCTGCACAGAGAAGCTGCTAGTCCAGGGGAAGATTGACAAGGACCTTCCCCCAGAGCCAACAGAGAAGAGAAAGCCTTGCCCTGGAGCTGACACCCTGAATTTGGACTTCCAGCCTCCTAGACTGTGAGAGAATTAACTTTCTCTTTGTTAAAGCCATCCACTGGGGGTATTTCTGTTAGAGAAGCACTAGGTAACTAAGGCAGAAACCAAATGGGCAACACCTGGCCCAAAAGCAAAGACGAGAAGGCAGGAAGGGACAGGAGTACTGGATGAATGGAAACAGGGAACCCAAGGTGGAAAGGGGGCGAGTGCTGACACATTGCGGGGATTGCAACCAGTGTCAAGCAATTTGTGTATAAATTTTTGAATGAGAAACTGATGTGTTCTATAAACTTTCATCTAAACCACAATTTAAAAAAATGATTGTACAAGAAAGAAGTGGCTCAGCTATGCACAATATTCATATGGTCGTATTTGAATTTCATTCAGTTCAAACACTGAATGCTAAATTATGCTTTAAATTTTGAGGAGAGAGGTTGGGGGGGATGTATATTGAGGCTATGGTTAAAACAAAACCCTCATGTTTCATAATATGAAGTCATTAAATAATGTCTAAAACAGAAAAATCAAGCAATATAAGGATGTTATTTAGAAATCATGAGAAAAATACCAGAAGAAATAGCTAAAAGAATTGAGAGTAATTTCCTTGATTCCCTGGGAGTAGGACTCAAGGATGAGAAGGGTACAGCAGGCAGTGCTGTTTTTTGTTACAAGCCTTGTAGTAGTGTTCGACCTTGAAACTATAAATGTATGAATCAGGTAAAAATAAAGAGCAACTTAAAAAATAAAGAAATGAGACCAAGGGAACTAGAGTACAAGAGAATAGGATATTGAAAGAGTATGTCTGTGTGTCTGTTGGAGTCATCAGGAATAGTGGCAGCAGTTAGGTTGTATATAGTGAATGTGAGCCAGGAACTGAAATCTTAAAAGAGTTAAGTGATAACAACAAGGCATGTTAAATTCAAATGGTGTAAGCTGCAAAAAAGGCTTACAAAAAAGATATTTGGCAAAGGTAGGAGGTGAAATGTTACTGAGAGTATAATGGGAGATTTAACAATTCTAATAGATTTTATTGGGACATATGCCAACTACAGTGCAAATTCCTGTGTATCTTAACACAATACTTTTAATGGAGATTAAATAATCTGAAAGTACATTTTACAATATCGTAGTCATAAATTCTCTCTGTTGATATTGCTATTAATCCAAGTGCGTTGTTAATTCAAGAGGCTTTTCTGTAAGAAACGAATGGGAAGAGTACATAATTCATTTTAAGAAAGTTTATTCTCTGTTCTTAATCCTCGTCAGCTTCTTGAAAATGCAAGTATTTATGACAAAGAGGATTAGTCAAAGTTAATGGAAGAAGGATCACCATCTAAGGAAAAATACTCAACTAGTTTTCTAATACTGATGTTAAACTGTGAAGAATTGTGCATAACCCCTTATAACCCGTTGCCGTCGAGTTGGTTCCGACTCATGTGACCCTATAGGACAGAGTAGAACTGTCCCATAGGGTTTCCAAGGATCAGCTGGTGGATTCAAACTGCTGACCTTTTGGTTAGCAGCCAAGCTGTTAACCATTGTGCCACCGTAATAAACATGAAAAAAATTTAAAGCGCTATATTCATTAAATAGCAAAATAGAGAAAAGAGACCTTTTAAATAGTAGGTTTCTGCAGTTGTGAAAAAAACTGGTTTGAATTTTAAATTTCAGTTTTTTGCATAGGTTACTCAGATGAGACAGGGTGCCTGTTGATGTTGTAGTCTTAAACTAGTTTATTCGTAAAGTGCCAAAGCTGCTTTAATATTAAAAAAAAAAAAAAAAAAAAAAGGAAAGAAAAGGAGTAGGAGTAAAGATGCCAGATTGCGTATATTTTGTCAATTACTGCTTTGTCATAATTTTTTATTCTGTTACTTTATTATTTCTAAACTCTTCCAGGATTAAGAATTTGGAAGGCTAAAGAGACCTTTCCATTTAAACCTAAATAGCTTAGTATCTTTCTCTTCTCCTTCTTCCTTTCTACTCTGCTTCTTCAGAATCATGGATAAAATTTGATACATTGTAGGGTGGGGAGGGAAGATACAGGATTTTTACAAGTGACCTGTAAACTTTAGATTACTAGATTGGGGTGGGAGGGGGTTGGAAAGTAAAATTGGAAAGATTACTACTTAAAAGTTGTTTTTTTTTTTTAACTAATTTTAATGGGTTACACAAATGTGGTTTCTGATTATAGTTTGAGAAGTTGAGTGCAGATATATTTCAGTAATACAGATCATATTTTCTGTTTGTAATTCTTGAGGCAATACTGCAGTTACCTGAAGTAGGGAGACAGAAATCAACGTGATCATGAAATTAGGTTGGTGCTTGGGAAAAAGAATCCAGAGTTTAATTGAGAGGGGTTGTTTTCTTTCACCTGAGTTCTGAGTATTCTGTCTGAAAGGAAATGGAGAGTGAGGACTAGTTGAAGTGATGGTTCATTGTTACTCCTTACTGTTACCAAACAGAACGTTTGCCTCATCACTTTAGCGGGACAACGTAACATGAGTTCTTGACCAAGGTCACTGAGATTCCCAGCAAGAAGGGGGGTGGGTACTGCCCTTTTCTATTTTCCTATACCACTTTGATTAATTTCTTTTTCTCCTGTTTTTCATTTTGTCTTTAGATCTTATAATCAATGGATAAAGTAGGGAAAATGTGGAATAACTTCAAATACAGGTGTCAGAATCTCTTCAGTCATGAGGGAGGAAGCCGTAGTGAAAATGTGGGCATGAACTCCAGCAGATGTTTGTCTGTCAAAGAGAGAAACACCAGTATAGGAGACCCCGCTCCTCAGCAGCAAAGCAGTCCCTTAAGAGAAAATGTTGCCTTACACCTCGGATTAAGCTCTTCAAAGAATTCTTCAAGGAGAAGCCAAAACTGTGCAGCTGAAATCCCTCAGATTGTTGAAATAAGCATTGAAAAGGAGAATGATCCGTGTGTCACCACCCCAGGAACAAGACTTGCACGACGAGACTCCTACTCTCGACATGCTCCATGGGGCGGGAAGAAAAAACATTCCTGTTCTACAAAGACCCAGAGTTCACTGGATACTGAGAAAAAGTTCGGTAGAACTCGAAGTGGACTTCAAAGGCGAGAGAGGCGCTATGGCGTAAGCTCTGTCCACGATATGGACAGTGTTTCCAGCAGAACCGTGGGAAGCCGCTCTCTGAGACAAAGGTTGCAGGATACTGTTGGGTTGTGTTTTCCTATGAGAACTTACAGCAAGCAGTCAAAACCCCTCTTTTCAAATAAACGAAAAATACATCTTTCTGAGTTAATGCTTGAGAAATGCCCTTTTCCTGCCGGCTCAGATTTAGCCCAAAAATGGCATTTGATTAAACAGCATACAGCTCCTGTAAGCCCGCATTCAACATTTTTTGATACATTTGACCCATCTTTGGTTTCTACAGAAGATGAAGAAGATAGGCTCAGAGAGAGAAGACGGCTTAGTATTGAAGAAGGGGTTGATCCCCCTCCCAATGCACAAATACATACATTTGAAGCTACTGCACAGGTTAATCCGTTATATAAACTGGGACCAAAGTTAGCTCCCGGAATGACTGAAATCAGTGGGGACAGTTCTGCAGTTCCACAGGCTAGTTGTGACTCCGAAGAGGACACAACCACGCTCTGTTTGCAGTCCCGCAGGCAGAAACAACGCCAGGTGTCTGGAGACAGCCACGCCCACGTTAGCAGACAGGGAGCTTGGAAGGTGCATACGCAGATCGATTACATACACTGCCTCGTGCCCGATTTGCTTCAGATTACAGGTAATCCCTGTTACTGGGGAGTGATGGACCGATACGAAGCAGAAGCCCTTCTCGAAGGGAAGCCCGAAGGCACATTTTTGCTCAGGGACTCTGCGCAAGAGGACTACCTCTTCTCTGTGAGCTTCCGTCGCTACAACCGATCCCTGCATGCCCGAATTGAACAGTGGAATCACAACTTTAGTTTTGATGCCCATGACCCGTGTGTGTTTCACTCCTCCACTGTAACAGGACTTTTGGAACATTATAAAGACCCCAGTTCTTGCATGTTTTTTGAACCATTGCTTACTATCTCACTCAATAGGACTTTTCCTTTCAGCCTGCAGTATATCTGTCGTGCGGTCATCTGCAGGTGCACTACGTATGATGGAATCGATGGGCTCCCTTTACCATCCATGTTACAGGATTTTTTAAAAGAGTATCATTATAAACAGAAAGTTAGGGTTCGCTGGTTAGAACGAGAACCAGTCAAGGCGAAGTAAACTCTCCTGTCCCCAAAGGGCATTAAGTAGATGTGCTTCTATGTGCAGCCGGCAGCACATCTCGAGCAAGCACACATATCAGTGTTAGAGTTTTCAGTCCAGTACGTAAGCTTAGTGTCTGTCAGACGCCATCTGCTGTCCTCAGATAAACGTGGTGCCTATTGAATCAACCGAGATAGAGCTACTGGTGTTCAGTAAGGCCTACACAAACGTCCTACCTATTTAGCTAAGGGTTTGGTTTTTAATGGCCGTCGTAATCGAGCAAAGCAACTCTGGGGCATTTGCTATGAAGAATTCTATTTCTTACTGAAGAACAAATTATTAATATTGGATGGTATTTCAACAGTGTGACTAATGTTTGCAATTATTATTTTTTCTAAGAAGTTTTCTATAACCTTCCAAAAGTAGTGATGTTTGTAGTTATTGTAAATCAAGCTTCAGAAGTCCAAAAAAGTCAAGACTGCCTTCCTTTTAGAAAAAAGAAAAAAATGCAATTTTCTGGCCACAAGGGCATAGTGCACTTAAGTACTGATAGTTTATAGTCAGCCTCCTTTTCTGCCAAAAGGCACTGTTTAGTAAAACCAGGTTTTCTAAATGGTAGTTCTTAAAATTTCACACTTACAAAGTTAGTAGTAGAATTTTATTTAAAGGCCCTAAGTATTAATGATTTCTATGAGTGCTTTGACTTAAGCCGGCATTTGGAATAGCTACTGCAGCGTAGTCTTGTGTGTGTGTGTCTTTAAGTTGACATGTGCAGCTGAGTCCTTGATTCATTCAAGTTGGATCTTTCCCTACAGCCCCTGCTGTGTTTGTGAACCGTGAAGAAAATGAGACTGGAAGATGCCCAAACAAGTCAGATGATAATAACTACAGTGGTTTCTAATGTTGAGATTATTGTTAAACTGTAATTAATTATTTGGATGGCAGTATTTATCCCTTTGTTGTAAACGCTCATAGCTGAACTGCTTAAATATAATTTATAGAATTTCAGTGCAGTTAATTTTTAATGGAAAAATCTGAAAACTAAATTGCAGATTTAAAAGGTACTGTACAACCGTCGTAATCTGTAAATAGCTCTACTTAGCACCTTTCTGTCCCTTAGAATAGTATGCAATACTACTTGAGTGAGCGCTTTTGGAAGTAATACCAAGTTCAAGTTCTAGTGTTGGCTTCTTAGTATTGAACTGAATTTACAGTTCTGTCCTAGACATTTTGCACTAAAATAGTGGACTCCATTCCTGTGTCTTTTTGTTCACGTGCTCTGTACCACTGGTGAGTGCGCCTTAGTTTCCTTACCTGCTGCTACAGAATGTTATTTTACATCCCTACGGCTATTGCCAAGGCTACGAAAAAGAGAAGCTATATTTGTATGCAACACTAACCCTTTGACTGCTGATGTATGTTTCTGCTTGCTGTGCCTTGTTATGGCTGCTTTTCTGTGCTAATAAAGTATGTTTGGTGTTCTCCTTGTATATCTGCTGTTTTATACATTTGCAACAATTTCTCTTGTAAATGGAATGGTTTGGGGTTTTTAAATAAGCATCACCTTACAACCTACTATAGTTAATGCAGTCTATTACTGACTTAACGGAGTAAGCTAACTCTAAATTTAATGCCTTTACATCTTTCCAATCCTAATCACATACACTGTGGAACAGTATCTATAGTTACTGCAGATTACTGTACAGTTTAGATCTTAACAGAGAAAATTAACAGTTATATTGACTAAACCTATTGATTTCTCAGCTTAGAAGTGAAAGATTGAAACTAGCAATGACATGTTATAGTAGACAAATATGTATAGCCTCCCACTGCATCAGAAACAGGTTAAGTGAAGTTTGTAAACTAATAACACATCAGCACTATTTGTTGGTTTGGGGACCATTTTAACTGTTAATAAATGCCCAAAATGTAGAACTTGAACCAAAGACTTGTCTATTTTAAAGCCAAATGGGAATTGAAGGGATTTATGATTCCTGTGAAATCTGATAGGAGTCCCTGAGGAACGAATACCAAAGTGTTTGAGAACTTCATCCAAACCTACTTTAAAGCATTATGTGCAATTAAGTTGTTATGACATAAAATTATATTGCATAATTGTTGGGTTCATTTTCTTGAGCTTATAATGTACCTGAAAAATAAACCTCTTGAAAAAACAAAGCAGTCCATAATGATTATTGGAGAAGGACTATATATACAAGTAAGATCGTGTTTTAAAGAGGTAACTTGAAACTCCAAGAAAGCACTTGATGTTTTATATGCTTGTAACAAATTGATGTTCTAATTATAGTTTTATAGAAAGTATTAATAACGCTTTTATGTGTTTCAGAACTTTTGTATGTTAAATGGAAATTGTTTTAAATGTATAAATATTTGAGTTTCTGTAAGCATGTGTACACTGTGCTAAAAGTCACTTATGTTTTAGTTTGTGTGTAATATTAATATGCAACTTTTGGCTAAAAAATTTCTTAAAATATCAGTGGCTTACATTTTACAAAAGAAAAATCACCAGCATGATATTGCACCAAAGTCTATATTCACTGTGTCTTTTTCTCAATCCCCTTGTAGCCTGTCAACTAAATTTGTGTGTTTATGGTCTCTTTAAAGTGTATTTTAATATAAATCAGGAAATTCTTTAGAAGTTTTGATACATTTTTATAGTGAAGTAATTAACCCAAGGAAAGTTGATCTGATTCCTATCCGTTCTCATTATTTCATTCGTAATTCTCTGTCTCTCTCAGTGATAAAGTGATATCACTCCCTAGGGTGATACTGTTAGTATCACTTTAGTTTGGAGAATAATGTTACCTTCTGATTTAAAATCATTCAGAGGCCTTATTCTGAGATATAGCTGAGGAGAATCCTTGTACCGTTCACATTTGATAATCTGCACTAAATCTTAGTCTTGTGATTATAGTCTTGTTTGTAATACAGTCACCTTACAAAGAAAGCATCCATCAGTTTTTTTTTCCTCCCCGTGCTGAACACAGTACAAAACTTTTGAAGAAGAAACAACTTGGTTTAAAACAATTTTTAAGAATCATATTTACATTTACGTTTTGTAGCAAAAATGGAACCCAAATAATGATGCTCCACAAACCATCTGTGTTCTTCTGGTCTCTAAGAAGTTTTATAACAACTTAAGCCATAGAAACAAAAACTGGTACATGAATTCTAAGCTTCGTTTTGACAAAACTCCCAAGTTTATGAACAGCATTTTTATTTAACGTTTTTATCTGGTTGCTTTTCATTTTCATCCCAGAGCTTCCCTTGCTCCCTGGCGCTCGACACTAATATTGTAAGTTTTATTGAGATTGGTCTTAGATCTCTTAATTTTTTATGGCAAAAAAAGCTATAAAACTCTTTTCTGGCAGAGGCATAGAGGCTGTGAGGAGTCAGAATCCTAAGAAAGATACAGAGCCTACATCCATCTGTGGGAGTGTGTTCACTTATCCTGTACCCCAACACATACAGTTTACCTAGGTGAAATGAGAGAAAAATGAACACAGTGTTGACAGCAGATGAGGAAAGTCTTCAAAGGGAGACAGTACTGTTTGGTGCATAAAACTACATATATATGAGGTTTGGGTTCTGTTTCATATTTTTATAATAGTTGATACAGAACATAGACTTCTAGTAATATGTTTCAAGGAATTTGGGGTAGAATCTTTTGTGGGAGGTGTTTTTCTTGAGGGGGAATGAGTTGCCATTTCAAAGTACAGAGATTTCAAAAGTATAGATGAGTTGGAAGAACTGTTTATGTCTGGGAAACTTGACTGAATATTTAGATTCCAGCCACTCAACAAATACTCATTGAAGACCTGTGTACCAGTCATCATCTTAGGTGATGGATATACATTGGGTTACAGGACAAAATCACTACCTTCTAAAGTGTATTACATACTAGTAGATGAGACAGCCATAAAATACAAACAAAATAATTTCAGAAATAAGACGAGATATGGTGACAGAATAATGGCATTATTTTATAGGGACATTGGGGAACAGTGACCTTGAATGATGAGAAGGAGGGAATAACCCCAACATCAAAGAAAAGAGTATTCTAGATGCTGTTAATAAAAGTCAAGTCCCCAAAGCAGAAATGAGCATAGATGCTGAGGAAGAATACCAGTAAGAACGAAGTCCAGTGAGGAGTGGGGAATGGTAGGTGATGAGGATGTAGAGATTGGCAAAGGCCTGACCATTTAGAGCTATAAACTCAAGTAAGGAATTCAGATTTTATTGAGTGTGATAGAAAGCCACTGGAGGATTCTAAGCAAGAGTGTGACAGGGTCTGCTTTACATATCTCTGGTGCGTGGATAGTACACTGTAAAAAAAAAAAGCAAACTATTGCGTAGAGTCAATTCCAACTCACAGCGACCCTATAGGGCAGAGTAGAACTGCCCCACCGGGTTTCCAAAGACTGGCTGGTGGATTCAAACTGCCAACCTTTTGGTTAGCAGCTGAGTTCTTAACCACTAGTGGGGCAAAATAAAGGAGACTATTGCAATCATCCAGGTCAGACAGTGGGGACCTGGCTGGGGTGGTGGATGTAGGGAGAAGTCAGATTCAGGATGTATCTTGATGGTAAAGCTGACGGGATTGAGTGATGGATTAAATGTAAAGAAGAAAGGAGAAATGAAAGGTGGCTCCTGAGCAAGGATAATGATAACCATTAAGAGATTTCAAAACACCAGTAAAGGATAAAATTGGAAGATGCACACAGAATGAGTAAAGTTTAAGGGTGTTGCTGTTGGATGCCGTCAAGTCAATTTTGACTCAGGGACTCCACGCGACAGAGTAGAACTGCCCCATTGGGTTTTCTTGGCTATAATTTTAAGTATTTGAGGGAAGTAGTTAAGGCAACATTTAGGTAATCATCAATTCAAGATTGTGTGTCAATAGATTTTTTTTTAATTCAGTAGAGTGGACTTGCCTTTCAAAAGGTTTTAAAATACTGGAATCATAAACCTTCCACTGAATTTTTTAAAACTATTGCTGGCTTTCCATGTCAGTTTTGCTTGTGTATCTTTTTTAGTATAAATTTTATATGAAGATAATACAAGTTTATTCTAGAATGTTCAGAAAGTACTCAAGATTAGAGCCAGTACCAATTTCTCCACCATCACCAGCCCCACCCTGCCCCTCCCAACTCCCATATTGTAATCTTCCAGAGATAACTGCGATTAACATTTGTTACATTTCCTTCCATGCTTCTGTGCATTTTTAACAATTTAAAGATCAAAGCATATAAAGTATAGAGTTGTAGGCCTCAAGTTACTTTTAGAGGGTTTATACTCAAATATGCTTCAAATTATACTCTTCACCTGAGTCAGCATGGACCCAGATTTCTTATCACTTCAGTCTTTTGAGGCAGATCATTTAATGGTTAGAGTAACCGAGATAGACAAGGCTCAGTCACTGAGGGTTTCCTGAAATAAAATAGCAGTAGGTGAGGACCCTCACCTCATGGAACTAACAAAGTAATATGAAGAAACAGGCAAATAAGAAAGTTTATAATGATAATAAATATGTGAACATAGAGCAAATAAAAAGTAATCAAAAACTGGTTGCATGAGTGATAGGAACCCTGGTGGCGCAGTGGTTAAGAGCTCGGCTGCTAACCAGAAGGTCAGCAGTTCCTTGGAAACCCTATGGGGCGATTCTACTCTGTCCTGTAGTGCCACTATGAGTTGGAATTGACTCAACGGCAATGGGGTCGAGCATGAAAAGGAAAAGCAGAAAAGTGACCCAAGTGGAGTCGGGGTGACGTGGGAAGGTGTCCTGGATTTGTTTAACTACAGAAGCGTCTAAGAATGTGATTTGGCATAAGATGGTGGGAAGGCCAGGTAGAAGTGGCAAGTAGCAACTGAAGAGGGGCAGGATTGAGGTGGAGGAACGCCTTGATTGTAGCCCTTGAGTATGCTAGACTGAAGAGTCTAAACTTATCAGGGTTCTTAAGGAAGAATTAGAAATTATTCCAGCTGCAGTAAGATGGACTAGAACCGGGAGAGCCTGGAGTCAGGCAAATCGGAGAAAACGGCCCTTTCTAAGACATGAGTTCCTAGATCAGATTGATAGGACTGGAACTAAACTGAGGAGAGCATCTGAGAGAAGTTACAAAAGAAAAGATGAGCACAGTTTTGGGTGAGGAATCTGTTCGCCTAGGAGGTTTCTAGTTAAATATGCCATACGTAGTCTCTTCAACTGGAAACAAATCGTTAGAAAGCAGACGTAGTATCTCCTTTTAATATGAATATGTATCCTGTGTTTAAATAAAACTAAATATGGTAATATATTTTTTCAAAGGCATATTTTTATTGCAAAAAAATATTTGATTGAATAAGTACTAACACCTCTTCACCATTCCCGGCCATACTTAACAGAGAAAATAGGAAAGTCAAGTCAAATCACCAGCCCCACAAAAACCATTGTGTGTGGAAAACAAAAATGCTAAGGAGGTGGCAAAATAAGATTTAAGAGGGAGCTATTGAATTTAACCTCAAAAATGGTATTATGATTGGTGTCATTTTTCTCATCTCTGAACTTTAGTGTGAGACTATTGAGTTTCTATTGTTTAAAAGTCAGTGGTTTATAATATTACTACCTTTCTTTCTGTAGGTATTTACTGAACCATCCCTTTCTAACTAGAAACCCAAGATTTTAGGGTAATTTTTAAAACTTAACATGAATCTGTCTTAAAAATATATACAATTAAGCACCCAATCCAATTTAACTTTCTATTTGTTTCTATTTTTAGGAGAATGAATTGTTTTAAATTTATAGTGCTTTTCTTAAACCCTTTAAGAAATTTTAAAAAATTGAAATGAAATAATTTAACGCTCTGTCACCTAATTTTATAAATAACTTTGTAGGTGCAGTTAGGTGTAACTGAGACAGGGTGAATAGTAACGGCATTAACAGGCCTAGAGACATATTTTCGTATAGTAGCTCCAACACTGTGAATGATATAAATTTGTAAATTTTAGCTTTAAAATAATGTCTTAACTTTTAGCAAGTTGTTTTCTAATGATGACAATGGAATTAGAAGACTCAAAATGTCTATGCTATGTAAAATTTCTCATCCTGAAAACAGTCACCTAATCAGAGAAGCAATATACTTTAATGGTGATGTGAACAAAAGAAATGTAAGGGCCTACATTTGTTCTATAAATAAACCATTGTGTCCAAGGCTAGGTGATGAACCTAAAATAATCCTGAAGAGAAAGTCACCAGAATAGCTTCCTGGCCCAGCAAACAAACCAGGTACATCCTGACGCAGCAGGCAGATTATTATGTAAGATGTAAGATTTACCCAAGTTGGCCTGTGTCTAATCCTCTACTTGTCTTTGCTACCTGGCTTAGAGGGGTTAAGTAACTTGTCCAAGGTCACAGAGAGAGTGACCGTCCAAGCCAATTTTCAAACATGGGTTGGAAGCCAGAGCCTAAGTAAGCTCTTATCCACTATACTTTTTTGGATTTTCAATTTTGTCAGCCAAATTAATATTTCTTCCAACACTTTGTCCTCCTTTATTGTCATCTAAAGATGCAGTAGATTCTAAATCATTGATAAAAATAGATTCTAAACCATTAATTAAAATTTGGAAGACTAGACCTCTAGAATCTCCTTAATTCATGTTATCCAGTTTGTTATTTGGCGAGTGCCCCTGCGTATTTCTTCGACTTTCTCTAACATACTTTCCCTCAGCTCTCTACTCTCCTGTCACATGGGCCTTCTTTCAGTTCCTCCAACACTCCAAGATCTTTCCCACTTCAGGGCCTTTGCACATGCTGCTCTTTCTCTGTCGCTCACATTATTCCCACTCTTGCATGTAGCAAAATGGCTTCTTTTCATTCGTTAGACCTAAGCTTAAATGTCACCTCTTCAGAGAGACCTGATCATGCCATTTAAAGATTCCTCCATTTTATTCTCTACCTCTACCCGTTGTTGGAGCCCTGGTGGCATAGTGGCTAAGAGATCGGCTGCCAGCCAAAAGGTCAGCAGTTCAAATCCACCAGCTGCTCCTTGGAAACCCTACGGGGCAGTTCTACTTTGTCCTATAGGGTCACTGTGAATCGGAATTGACTCAATGGCAATGGATTTGGGTTTGTTTGTTTGTTTGGTTTACCCTTTGTTAGATTTCTTCATAGTCTTTATTACAAATACCTACAAATATTTTGTTTTGAGGTTTTGACCATCCCTTTGGAGAAACTCTGACAACAAAGACCACGTCTGTCTTGTTTGCCATTTTATCCTTGGGGCTCAGCAGAGTGGCTAACACAGCAGACACTGAATATTTTTTAAATGAGTGAATGAATTGCCGATGCACTTAATTTATTTTTCCATTTTACTCACAACAATATCAAAACCATATCGCATGTCTTTCTGAAATCTAGATTGCATTGTTTCCCAACGTCCCTTTTAGTTGTCTTGTTCTATTAAAAAAAAGTATGGTTAATTTGACATGAATTGTTCTTGGTGCTCATGCTAGCTCCTGGAGATAACCATTTTCTTTTCTCAGTTCTCACAGGCCATGCCTTTAGTAATCCATCCCAGAATGTTGACTAGGACTATGTCCAGTCCATTAATCTGCAGTTAGCGGAACCACCCGCCTCCACTTTTTTAAAGATAGGAGTCACCTCTGTCTGGTCTTCTAGCTTGACTTCCATTCTCCTCAATTCTTCAGTGATGACTCATAACCTTCAAAGATCCTATTTGGAGACTCTCTTAGTTCTCTGGAAAAAAAGGAATCCAGGCCAGGATACTTGAACATATTTATAGCAGCTATGTTTTTCTAAGGAGACCTGGTGGTGCCGTGGTTAAAACACTCGGCTGCTAGCCAAAATGTCGGTGGTTCGAACCCACCAGCGGCTCCTCAGGAGAAAGATGTGGCAGCCTGCTTCTGTAAGGATTACAGCCTTGGAAACCCTATGGGGCAGTTCTACTCTGTCCTATAGTGTCGCTATGGGTCAGAATTCGACTTGACAGCAGTGGGTTTGGTTTTGGTTTATGTTTTTTCTAGAACCTCTTCACCCATTCTAACTTTTGATTCCTTCTTGCCAGCATTTGCTCTGCCTTTTTCAGAGAAGATAGATAGATGTAAAATAAGAAATGGATATCTGAACTTCCCCATTATCCATCAACATAATACCATTGGCTCTTTATTGTCTACTTATTTCAAGCAACTAAAACTGTGTGTGTTTTAAATTGAAATACTTTCCTAGTAATAAGATCAGATATTTTTATCAATGCATTTGAATCATCCTTTTTAAACTTGCCGCAGATATCTACCAAATACAGGTGAAAGTAAGATAGTTCCTCTCGAAAAACTTGCACTTTAAGATGAAAAACACTGTTGTAGCTGCTGACAGTACAACTAGATATTTAAAAGGATGCAGAGTAAGGCCTTTCATTAAAATTGGAAAATAGGAAATATACCGTATCTAAAGCTTTAAAAAGTTGTTTCAGAGTAGATTTCTTATGAAAATTATAGATTGTGTTTTCTACCTGAATATGCAGAATGCAAGGTCCCGTGGGTGAGAAAATTAAACAGACACATCTCTACTTTTTTTTGTCTTTCATCTATTCCCCCCTAATCTTGTTTTCACACTGATGCCCAAATCATTTTACTGCTTTATGTGTTAGGATTTTTTTAAAGCATGCATGACTTTTCAGAGTTGTTTGGGTAGTTTCTTATGAGTTCCAACATGAAGTGTTGTAAATACAAAAAAGTTAAAGTAATGCTCTTATACTTGCATCTTAAAGCTATTTAGAAACTTCAGTGAAGCCATGAAAGAATACGGCTTTGAAAATGGAGAAATACTCAAAACACAGTTTGATGTTTTCAGATGGATTGTGTATAGTCTTGAAGCTCCAGTGGACAGGTGTGGGATTGTTTTTCCAACCCTTTAAATGAGCGAAGACCTCAAGGGAACCCATATGGTCAAGTTTGAATGGCTGAAATATACCTATGGGGATTGTGTTCTCTCTTGTAGTATGGACGCAAGCTGTCCCTCCAGATAGCTTTAAAAAAGAGCCGTGGAAATGACTAACATCTTGGCCTTCCTCTGGTGAGCGGAGAAGCCTGTGGGTAACTCACAGACCGAACGAGTGCTGGAAAACATGAAGGCAAAAGCTTCATGTAGTTGGAGGTAACAATACTGGTAAAACTACACACTCGCAGATTCTGATACTCAAAAGTCATTTTTGTTTTGTTTTTATTATTTAAAAAAAAAATGCCTTTGAATAAACATGAGATTTTAGGGAGTGGGTGTGGTGTTAGAAGACATGGGTTCAGGTTTTGGGACCGCCACTCATTACTTATGTTATCTTGGTCAAATCACAATTTCTCTTGGTCTTTGTTTCTTCCTCTGCCATGAAGAAAATAATACCCTCCTTATCTCACAAGATTGTATTTTGGAAAGCATTTCAGATAAGAAATGACAGATAAATCACCAATTAAGGAGTTACATTTCACCACTTGGAGCTCAGGGATCTAGAATCCTTCAGTTGAGTGGCTCTGCTGATCCCCAGCGTCTCTTTGCAATATTTTATTTTAATGCTCATAAAATGCTTTAGTTTTCCGTAAAGTGAGAGAATTTATCTTTGGAGCATTTGGAAAAATGAACATTTTGTTATCTATATGCATTAATATAAGGCAGAGAAAATTTACTCGAAATAATTTTTATGCTAAGAAAGAAGTTCTTTATACAACATTTTTCTTCTGAAGAACCAAAAACTATTTCGTAGCTGCACAGCTGTTGTCAGCCTGCCTGGGTTGTGTCTCAGCTCATCTACCTGTGAAATTAACCGGTAAGTTTCTTAACCCTTCCCAGGCTTGGTGGTTCATCTACCTCATCTTCCTATCTGATTGCAGTGCGTACACGTTAAATGGAATAATTCCTGTGATGTGCGTAGTGCGGTGCCCAGCACAGAGTAAGTGCTCAATAAATGTTACTGTGAGCTCTGTCCTTACATTCATCTACACTTTTTATTTCATTAGTAGAAACATGGGACTGGAATCCAGATCTCCTTATCAAAATTGTGGTCTTTCTCTTTTCTGCAGAAGGCTTATCTCAAACGTAAATTCAACCTGTAGTCTTCCTGTACACTGTTGGTTTAATGTGGAGTTTCATCAAAGGACATAGTCAAAATGTGAAAACATTCTCTCTAAATGCCCATGGGGGAAGAGTCTATAAAACTTCTTGCTCAGAAAATTAACTAGGAAGCAGATAGGCTAAAGCCAACTATAATTCTATTCTAATGTTTATTTTTATGCTCATAAATTGCTTTAGT